CCCCTCATCCAGACCATCGATAAAGATATTGAACAAGTCCGGCCCCAAAACTGAGCCCTGGGGAACACCACTCGTGACCGGCCACCAGCTGGATTGAACTCCATTCACCACAACTCTCTGGGCCCGGCCGTCCAGCCAGTTTTTGACCCAGCGCAGAGTGCACCTGTCTAAGCCGTGAGCCGCCAGCTTCTCTAGGAGAATGCTGTGGGAGACAGTGTCAAAGGCCTTGCTGAAGTCCAGGCAGACCACATCCACAGCCTTTCCCTCATCCACTAGGAGGGTCACCTGGTCATAGAAGGAGATCAGGTTGGTCAAGCAGGACCTGCCTCTCATGAACCCGTGCTGGCTGGGCCTGATCCCCTGGTTGTCCCGCACATGCCTTGTGAGCGCCCTCAAGATGAACCTCTCCATAATCTTCCCCGGCACCGAGGTCAGGCTGACAGGCCTGTAGTTCCCCGGATCCTCCTTCCGGCCCTTCTTGTAGATGGGCGTCACATTGGCAAGCCTCCAGTCATCCGGGACCTCCCCCGTTAACCAGGACTGCTGATAAATGATGGAGAGTGGCTTGGCGAGCTCCTCCGCCAGCTCCCTCAGCACTCTCGGGTGGATCCCATCCGGCCCCATAGACTTGTGAGCATCCAGGGGGCATAGCAGGTCGTTGACTGCTTCCTCTTGGATTACGGGGGGTTCATCCTGCTCGCCGTCCCTGTCTTCCAGCTCAGGGGGCCGAGTACCCTGAGGATAACTGGTCTGCCTGTTAAAGACTGAGGCAAAGAAGGCATTAAGTACCTCAGCCTTTTCCTCATCCTCGGTGACAATGTTCCCCCCTGCATTCAATAAGGGATGGAGATTTTCCTTGGCTCTCTTCTTGTCATTAATATATTTGTAAAAGCTTTTTTTGTTGTCTTTAACGACAGCCGCCAGATTGCGTTCTAGCTGGGCTTTTGCCTTTCTCATTTCTTCTCTGCACGACCTAACGAGATCCCTGTACTCTTCTTGAGTCGCCTGCCCCTTCTTCCACAAGCGGTAAACTCTCCTTTTTTTCCTGAGTCCCAGCAAGAGCTCCCCGTTCAGCCAGGCCGGTCGTCTTCCATGCCCGTTCTTCTTACGCCGTACAGGGACAGCCTGCTCCTGCACCTTTAAGACTTCCTTCTTGAAGATCGTCCAGCCTTCCTGGACCCCTTTGCCCTTCAGAATTTATATTCTTAATCCAAGGAATATACTGCAGAAGAACCATGAGCATTGTGAGTCATCACTTTTATTGTGTAATGAAGAGAAAGATGGTGTATTTCATAAACTTATATCCTGTTCTCTTTGGCCCATGACTCTGTACAGCCTATTTCCCAGATAAAATCTAGATCTTATGCTAATATATTGTATTGCCATTTCTGCCTTTTTCCTGTGTGTGAACACTGTTTCTGTGAAAAAGTAGATATTTTCTAGTCAAAGCCTAAAATCTAGTCCATTTCCTAGAACTGAGAGAGTCTTTCAGAAGATAAACTGAGTTATTTTTCTTTCTTGATTTCTTCTACATTCTTTCTCATTCTTGATTGTATAACTTTCTTCATTGGTAACATTTGCCGACATTAAGTACAAGAATTATTGCCCTTTTTTTTTTCCAGGCTGCTCGGTAACCATGTTGTGGACGCCTCGGCTGGCACATTCTGTTTTTAATTAGGTTTACAGATATTTTGACTCATTCCACGGTCTCACTAGTGTCTGTCTCTGGCCTGTAATCGTCTTTTGTCACTGCTCTGATTGTTCTCTCTTTGTCTTTTCTGAGTGGGCCAAAGCGTCGGGAAATAGTTCTTTTTGTGTATGTTGCAGATGGTTCCATCCACTTCTCATTTTTCTCCTTATGAGCTTGCAGACATCTTTGATGCTTCTTTTCTTCGTTCTTCCTCATTTTATCCATTCTTCTCCTTGACGTGGACCTTCATGAGGACTTTAGTGTGGCTTCATTGGTCTTGCTTGCTAATTTTCACTGCATGTCAGGTCATCGACTCATTTCTTTCAGACGAAAACTGAATGCATACATGCATGTAACTGTCTAAGGTATCTTAGTTCTCAAGCTTGAGAGTTACTATTGCTCTTTCACTATTTGCCACTGTTTCTTATTTGAGAACTTACCAGTACAGCAGGCTTGGGTCAAGGCACTCTCATGCCCCAAGGCCTTTCATGTTCACAATATACTTTTTGCTATTGTGCTTGTTAGTATTGCTCATAACCTTTTTTCCTACATTTAGATGAGTAGTTACACTGACTACCTGTTATACATGGAAACAAATAAATAGGCAATAACCACAAGCAATGGAGACAAAAGAAATCTCATAAGCTGGCCTATTCTTAGGGAAGTACAGCTTAATTTTACAGCTGTGAACGTTATGGCTATTTTACAACATTTGCTTGTATATCCTAGCTGTTCTGTGTAGAGCCCTATGTCATAACAGCCTCCAAGTACTGCCACAGGGTGAGTATGAGGAAATAATTATAGCAATCTAAAATGTGACTAACTAGTAAAATCTACCCTCTGAACTTCCTGAGATGTTAAACTGGTGTCTTCCCTTTGATAACTTATTGCAGCTCAGATGAAATCAAAGGACCTGTGGCAATTCAAAGGAGCTGAATGTATGTTGTATTCAAACAATGGGAGGACAGTTCTTGACTTTAACATAAACAAATATGCGCTTCATTTTGAAAGAAAGAAAATTGAATGAAACGAATAATCCAACACCTAGTCCTGCAAAGACAAATGAAGTGTTAAAGCTTCTTGTATAATCATGTAAAGGAATACCTGCAGCTGCATTGTAAGCAGCCGTTTTGGACAGGCTGGGTATACATATAGTAATATAACTAGTGATGATACTTTATACTTACTTAACACCTTTCATCACAAAGTACATTACCAAACACTAGTTATTTGAGCCTTACAACATGTCTGTAGAAGACTATTATACTATTGTAGAGATTGCACAGAGAGATTAAATGGCTTGGGTTAGGCCACACAGCAAGTGAGTAGCAGAGCCAAAAGGAGAGCGTGAGTGTTGGCTTCCAGCCCTGTGCTCTAACTACTGGACTTTGCTTCCTTAATACTTAATTCCCATATTGCTTCTCTAATAGAGCTACTGAAGCTTTTAAGCACTCGGTAAGTTTTGGTGTAATATCAAACCGGTTGTGTTTCTCTCTCCTAGCTCGTTTATGATGTCGCAAAATATTGTAATTACATTTTTAAGGGTCTCATTTACGGGTTGCCCCAGGTCTCCTAGCCCTGCTGGGGGATCAGCCTGACATTGTGTTGCTCCCATCCCCTGTCCCCAGTACACAATTGCTGGCTGCTGCTGCTTTTCTCTGCAAGCTTTCGTCACGGCCCCAGTCTTACGCCCTTAGTTCTGCCGTGTGAGTGGCTGGACCATTCTGTGCTTAAATAATTCCAGCTATATGCTAGTTAATGTGAAACAGATGTCCCCCAGGCACTGGCGGGAGCTTTTGGTCCCGCTGCTCCCGTAGTTTCTCACGGGCAAACCCGTTCCGGGCTAGCCACAGCCTGCCTTGAGTTCTGTCCCGCGTGCCTGCGCCTCTGAGGGTGAGCAGGCGAGGGAGGAGGACGAAGGGCGAGCGAAGCGGGCTGCAGACCGGCGAGGAGGGAAGAGCAGCACCCCGGGCACCCGCTGTGCTCGGCGATGAACAGGGCGGAGGCTTGCTCGCCCGCGCTGCCTCTCGCCTGCCCTCCCGCTGCCAGGGGGCCATCCCCCCCCCCCCCTCCTCGGCGGGCGGCGGGTTGGAAAATTTCTGCCGCTTTTGCCGGCTCCTTGGGGGGGGGGCAACGGCGGGTTTCAAAACTCTTGCCCCTTCCTCCAGGCAACGGCGGTTTGCAAACTCTCTGCGCTTCATGCTGCTCCTTGGGTGCTGGGGGAGCTGCGTGAAATAACGTTTGCCAAGCCAGCATGATGCTCGTGAAATGAGGAGGAAGACAAACACGGAGGAAAAAAGGTAGGAAGTACCGAAAAAAGAGAGCCTTGCACGTTGCCTCTTTGTACTATAGAAACTGGGGGTGTGACTGAATATCCAAACCACCTACACTCCGGGGATGCCACCCAATGGCTGTCGGTGTGCTTTGCAGAACTCCTCCCCTCTCGTTTTGGCTCAGCAGAGACCTTCAGAGAAACTGCCTGTTCTGGCTCCTACAGACTGTAACATATAAAAGCTGTTAGCAGCTCCTGTGGCCAGAAGCTTCAAAACCAGCAGAGTTTTGTTCTTTGGGGGTTTGTAATAAGAGACACTCCTTCACAAAGGTTCTTGTCATCACATAGGAGAGTGCTATATATACTGGGGGAACAATAGGCTGTATTCTTTTTTGGTATTATCCAGAGGTAAGCCATTCAGCTCAGTAAGTTTGCTTTGCATGCAGTTTTGTCAATACTCATCACATTTTGCTGAAGTTAAGATTTGAATGCTATTTCTAAGATGTCCTGCTTTCATGCTTTATATGTTGTCTTTTGCCTACTAGTTTATCTGTGCCACACTGTGTCAAAACAATCCATGCATATAGGATAGGCATAGCCTAGGATGTATTTTTCATTTTCAGTGGAAAACATTCTGTGAGGTTTCTTGCAGTCTTCCCATTTAAGATTTATAGTGCGGTGTATGGACTGATCTGGTGTGATAGCATTGTCACTGTTTCAGGAATACTGCTAGCTCTGATCATGTAATTCATGGTATAACGATACTTCATTTGGTGTGTTTGTAGTAAGAACGTATTATCTCTTAATGAGAATATGGGTATTGAAAATTGCTCAGTAACATGTGTTCTGACTGGATTGTTTTTATGATTGAGCTGACAGAATAATTTTTCTGATCACAGCCTGCCAATTCACTTTGTCTTGCTACTCTGATGTACAGAATCACATCTTTGACATCTTCTCTTCTACAGATCTGTTTTCTACTGCCCTGACTTAAAGCAGAGTACCTCTGTGGCCTATCTTTCTCCTTTGGCCCCAAAAATGACAGTAATTGCTGCAATCAGTTGTGCTTTCTTATTTTCCATTCTCTGTGAAACAAGTGCATTAGTGTTACCCAACTCCACTGACCTACTCCTGTCAAACAATAATTTCACTGACATTGAGACGGCTTTGGCAGCTCATCTGGACTCTGCAAAAATTCCCAAAGCCAGGCGGAAGCGCTACATTTCGCAGAATGACATGATTGCCATTCTTGATTATCATAATCAAGTCAGAGGCAAAGTCTTCCCACCTGCTTCCAACATGGAATATATGGTAAGTAAACTTTGTTTTTTTCAGAGTAAAACAAACTGGAAGTCAGTGATTTCATTTTCTTAAACAAATTATGAGGGTTTAGTTAAGTAGACAAATTATTTTTAACTATTTTTGCTTACTAAAATGTTCTTTCCTTACATTTTTTAAGTTGCATTAACTTAAGCAAGCAAAAGCTAAATACTGAACTCTCAACCTCCTGCTTGCCCTGTTGAATTTTCTTTTCCGAGTAGTCCCAGTGAAGCTTCTGGGTCGCAAGTAAATGAAGTTGTGAGTTAACTGCTTGTTGGCCTGAAGAATAGTACGTGATAACAACATCTGATTTCATGTGTTTAAAGTCCTAATCGTTAGTAGCCCCATTGCTTTTGTGGAGTATGCTGAAAGTCATTGCCCTGATGTATGCAAAAGATAGCCAATGACCATTTCTAATTTCTTTCACACGTAGTACTTTTGGAGACAATATGGTAAAACTGTGTTTGCAAAGTAATTCATCTGATGCACTGTTTGTCTCATGCTCATGTGTTTTACTTGCTGCATATTGTTTGTGTGCACCTAATACTTTTATTTTTCCATCAAATACAATGCTGCTTTTAAATGTCTCTCCAGTATGTAGGATAACTCAAAATGTTATGATTCTGGCAGGCACCTTTTCCCCTTATTGGCTAATACTCATTATGTGAATTATCTGTTCCTGCAGGTATGATAGAAGTTATTCATTCACTATGTGATTTCATACTTGGCACTACTAGCTAAAGCACCGTGTTTGCTATTTTGTGTTCCAACTGTGAATGCATGCATACTGTGGACCTCTAACGTTAAACATAGGTTGGCCGAGCAAAAATTTTTTTACCATCTAAGTAAGGTATTCACACTGTTTTGTAAGCACAGACAAGTTGTGTCAGCACCATAATAACATCTGCTTAAAGTCACAGAGTTTCTCATATGACAACAGACGGTTAACAGGTTTGAGAAACAGGACACCATCAGCTTGACATAAAAAGGGGATAATAGTAATAACAACTCCTCCTTTTTAGCAGCTAATGACTAACAATTTGGACATCTTTCTATCACAGATGTTACCTAAATCTGGATTTGATCATATAATCCACATAGCACATCCCAGCAGCACCTCAAAATGCTGAGTGCACTCAAAATGTTGCAGGATGAAGGCCTGTTGCCATACCATAGGCTGAGTTTGAAGTTTGGTTAAGTGGAAAGGTCAGAGACAGAAAAAACAGAGAGGTCAGAAGTCAAGCTCAGTCATCATTTTCATTGCTGTGCTCTCCACTGACGTTTCCTTTGATTCTGCATAAATAAACTTTGTTGTAATGTCTGAGGGAATGGCAGCCTACCATGCCCTTCCTTGGCTTGTGTGTTTTAGAAATGTACTCCTGCAGTTTGCTTAAGTGAAGCCAGCACCCTGCCATATTCCCAAGAGTTTTGTAAGCGCAGTGTTCTTAGCCTGTTCAGTAAAAAAAAAAAGTCTTTTGAATTTTCTTTTTTGAAGAATCAAGCAATCTTCCTTGATTAAATCTATTTTAATGCACTCATATGCATAAACTGCCAGGATTTTACCTATATTGGTTGGGTGTTCTGCTGCAGCTTTGCTCTGCAATGGTACTGTGCAAGGTTTGATACAAAATCAAGACTGAAGCCATGCTCTTTACAGCTTACATGCTATTCTTTTCCTTGCCCTTCTTACTATTGCTTTTACGAGTACCAACCAGCCATAGGATGAACCTGTGTCCCCGTCAGCATCAGCCCCATCACTAGTCCCAAGGGCAAGGTCTAAGGCTTTCTTTTACGTTTGGTTTCCCAGTCTGAAACTACTTTGTGACTTCATGCTGCAGAATTCAGAGCAGCACCTCAAGCTACATAGGTAATGATCCAGAGTGCAACTGGAACTTGGATCCCCAAGTGGCGGCCAACCCTTTTGCCCCCAGTTCTCTTTCAGAATTTAGTCAGTCTGCGTGTGTCCCATGTAACTTTACAGAGCAAAACAAGCCCAGTGAGCAGCATCACACATAGCTTGCTCTGCTCTCTGGCTTGTAGCCACGGCATCGTTTATTTATCAACTTCAACAAATTTATTATCATCAACTTTTTATCTCTGTGGCTACAGAAAGGCTTTGGTAGGAAGATCTTGAAGATGACATGGTGGTGTAAGCCATACCAAGACTGGGGAGCCCTGTATCAGTAATGCCCATTTGAACTTGCTTAGTCCATTCTTTGGTCTCTGTATCATTTCAGTGTATGGCACAGCGTCTGTTGTGTCTTATGGGGACATAAGATTGCTGCTGTTACATACAAAAGATGTGTCACTCAATACTCATTTTCATAAATAAGATAGCAAACACATTGTCATTACCAGCAGACAACATACGCTGTGCTGAAAGAATGTTACATACTGTGCGTTCCTGTCCTGAACACTATGGAAAAGTACAGTGGTAGTGATGAAAGTGGCCTTTCCCATTTCCCCTAACAATGACTAAAAAGGATGTCACATGTCAGAGAGCTGTAATTACTTACAGATGCAGTAGACTGTGGAAACCTCTTGTAAATGTGTTGAGGTAGAGAAGGACTAAGCAGTTTGGAAGCACAAGAAAAAGATGTTTTCTCATCTTTTCTCTGTCCACAGTCATATTAAATTGTGTTTTGTTCTATTTTCCTAATTCTGTTAGGAACACTGTTCTTCTCATGAATGGCTATATCACATTCTTACTTCTGTACAGTTCTATTTGATTTTTCTCTTCCACTGATAAGAGCTTAGTATTTAGCAGTACGGCTTGTTTCTCGTGATTCCGGTTCTCCACACCCAACCTTTTTTTTGTGCTTTTCCCCTTGATACTGCTCCTTCCCCGATGCAGTCTGCTTCTTACATGTTCAATGTATTTACAGACACTTTGAACTCCTTGGGCATTATTGTCTGCCCCTACTGTCTTGAAAGTTTGTGTGCTGTAGGACTTTAGATGAGAGGTCTTGAAGAATGGCTTTGAATGCACACACGTTAGGCAGGGGAGGTCCAGATGAACACTGCAGTAACAGAGCTGGGGGAGTGTTTTAATTCTCTTTGGGAGAGGTGGGTCTGAGTGCTGCTGTAGCCTGCTGTTGTATGCAGTCCCCAATGTAAGTGGACAGGTGGTGGACAGCTGGGGAGTCAAAAGCAAGATGGGAGGCATTGTTCTATTATCAATACCTAGCAAAAGAAACAGGCGTGTCTTATGCCAATGAGACTTTGGGAAATCTTTCTTTTGGGATATTAGCACCCTATGAGTAAGACTTTAAAGTAGTCCTCCTTTTGGTTCTAGTTCTGGTATTGCTGATGCCTTCACTTCAAAGTTTTTCTGCAAGTACAAATCTAGTGTCGGTGCATATGTGAAGGAAAGTGAAAGAGAAAAGAAACAAGAGCTTTCAGGCCTATAATGTAGAAGTAATGACCTCTCTTTTAATGTGGGTCTTCTTATGATATCCTTCATTCTTTTTCATCCTACGACTGTCATTCTCCAGTCTTTGCTTGTGCTCTAAAAGCTGATGCCATACCCGCAGAAAGAAAGATGACACCATCCTTTTGACCTGGCAAAGGGTGAAAATCATCCACTTGGCTTTGCATACTTTTTCTGGAGAAAGCAGAAAGGTTCCATAAAATTCATAATTCGGAAGAAGTGAGGTGTAGAATTGCCTGCAGCTCTCTAGTGTGAAAGGTATGTAAATCTGCAAATACAGGGGAATTCAGTGAACAAGCAAATCCCTTTCTCTGAATGCTAATTCTGTACTACAGTAGCCTGTGTTGACTTTCTGGAACATCTCAGCTACTTGGTAGGCCAGTAAAGATTTGCAATAAGTTGTCAGCTGAAATCTGAGTCTCATAAAACACGTCATTTAGTATGCATTGGTACTATCTTTAGGCTCCCAAAACATTCATTAATGAAATATCTGTTCCTATGAGAATCAAATGTTATTTTTACCTTCTCTACAATCATCCCTACCTGAGGCCAGTCTTTTAAAAGTCCATATGGTCTTTGTTGTAACCCACATCACCGCGTGCATGCAAAACCTGGTGCTTATATACAGGCATGCTCTTTACAGTTTCACATGCACCAAGCAGAAGCAGTAAATCTGATATAGCTGAGCCTTAATGGGCATTGAACACTGTCCTCCATGGCATTCCCATAGGCAAAGTGGGAAAATCTGTTCTAGTTAAGAGTACTCTAAGGTGATCTGAATAACCTGTTAAAGAGCCATACCGAAAGACAAGGTGTGAGAGTAGTTCACTGCTGGCTTGCAGAGTGTAGTTCTGCAAGGATGAGTCCTGAGCCCAGTACTGATCAACATAGTCTTCAGCAGACTGGCAGTAGCATGTCTGAAGTATGATAGATGGAGCAGGATTGCACACTCAAAAACATGAAGCTGAATATTTGTGGAATGCTGTCTGAAGACTTTTTTTTAAGAGCAGAAAAATGCTTTAGATAAACTTGAGCCTGCTTATGTATAGAAGATCTTCTGATGTATTTTCAATTCCTTTTTGTTCAGTGATCTCATGAATGCACTTTTATATTTGGGAAAATCTGCCCCTCCATGAACATGTCACTTTGTAGGACTCAAAATAGTAAAAGATTCCCAGACTAGCCTGAAATGAGTTAGTTTGGATACCCAGGAGTTATTTCATGGCAACATAGCATAAAGATAGTTTCTCATGAGCTGGTGGCAGAGGATCTGGAAGGGAATGGAGAATCTGAGCCTGATAATCTTCTAGTAAATCCACGTGAAAGACTGTGATAAAATGGACAAAGGAAATGAACTATTGTTCTAAAATAAAAGTAATTGTGTTCCAAAATAAATTTCTGTAGTCATGTGAGGGAGTTCATGTGAGTCATGGGGGAAATCTGTGCACTCTGTATGGCCCAGGAGTGACCCTCTTTGCTGAGGTGATGAATTTGGAGACTTTGATTCCTGTCCATGAAGATCTGAAGACAACTTACAAAGTCAGGTCAGAGAAGCAAGAAA